CTGGACACGTGTCCTACGACTCATCGCGGTCGGTACTGGCCGTGGATGGCCGCGCGCGACTTGAGGTGGCTGTCTCCGTTCGTAAAGAAAGCGGAGCTGCACTTTGAAACGCCTTTGACCAAGGGCACGCAGTACCTCTTTGCAGTCCATCCCCATGGCGTCGCTTCGTGGCACCACGGCGTCCTCCTGGGAAATACGTCAACGCCTCCATTCAGCGACTTTGTGCCTGGCGACCAGCGCCGTCACTTGGGCGCGTCCGTCGTCTTCCGCATCCCACTATGGCGCGAGTTCATGTTGTACTTCGGCGTGGTGGACGCGTCCAAGCATGTCGCACATGCTGTCCTCAAATCTGGCAAGACCCTCGTCATCTTGGTCGGGGGGGTCATCGAGCAAATGATGGCCAAGCGCGGCGAGCATTTGATTTACGTCAAACATCGCAAAGGTATTCCTATCATCAGGGCTAGATTCCATGTACTACCCCTCCTATACGATGCTGACGATATGGCCAAGGCCACTGCAAACTGGCGATTCAACATGGCACTGCTGTCGTCCCAGTGTATTGCTTTGGGGAAACAGACATGTTTGAGACCTCCACGTAAGAAACACCTCAAGTATGGTCGGCTGTGTAGTATCACTCACGCATTGGACTGAATTTAGGTTTCTGCTGCCGTTTCGGCAATGGGTGGCCAAAAAGTTCAGCGTGGCGCTGCCGATTTGCTGGGGGCCGTACTGGTGGTGCCCCATCTACCCGTTCGACGTTGAGTATCACCACGTGTTTGGCAACCCCATTCCCACGACCAAGACCGACCACCCCACGCAAGAAGACATCGATCGCGTCCATAAGCAGTACGTCGCCGAGCTCGAGCGCATTTTCGAAAAGTACAAGGCGCAGTTTGGCTACCCCGAAGCGACGCTGCACGTTTGTTAAACGAGAGCAAGAACAACTTAGTACAATGTAGTAATATTAGGTATCTGTAGTGCAAACTGGATAGGTGGCCTCATCACACAAACGCTCCATAGGCATTGCAGCAATTGCTTAGTAGCTATGATGGTGATTTGCAGAAGGCGAGGAAGTCTAATTGTTGATACATCTGTGTATCTGCCAAATGATATACAACCACCGAGGATGGGGGATAGCCCACGTGAGTACTTGGTGCATAAGTATAGCCAGGATATGGATAATTACCTACCCCGGAAGCGGGCTGCTGGAACGGTCGGGGGACGATGCGGAACAACAATTTGGTGGTTGACTGAGGCGGCTTTGGTTCGGAATAGCGATCAAGGCAACGTGCAGGTACTGTATTGGGAGGGTAAGCGTGGCCATCCCAATCAATGCCATCGTTGTAAGCTGTGGTAGTACTGTACTAGAAATTAAAATCAATGGTCGTGATTGCCCAAGATGCTCTGGACGACAGTGATTTGCCCGTAGCCGTCAGGGGAAGCTGTCCCTTGAGGGGGTGTTAGACCACATACTCCTACAAGGTAGTTTTCATGGCTTAAGATGGCAGACAAGGAGCGAGCGGCACCAGTGCAGCTGGCGGTACTTAATACTACGCAGTTCGCCGCAAAGGAACATCTTGAAAGAACAATGGTCGTACGGGTCGGCCAAAACATGCATGGTGAAGGAAGTACTACTTGACATGTGTTGTACACGTATCGAAGCAAGCAGACTTTGCCGCAATGCGAATTGTGCCTGTCCAGGACCGGCACTGCTTGATCGATAACGGGAATTTCAAATCAGTATGCATGTTGATACTTTTGAGGGGCGCCTCCAAGACGCACCGCATCAGCCCGACGTGTTCGACTGGGTAGTTTCCAGAATGGGAGGTGTCCACATGGGTGTAGAGGATCTGTCGGATCGAAATGAACCCCCATCGGGTACAATTGCAGCATGGGTGTGGCCTCCCAAGTAGAAAAAGGCGGCGACTTCTTCCTGGCTGTCGCGCAGCATGGCACAACATTGACGCTACGATGGCAACTTGCGCGTACACTTAAGGGAGTTGGGAGCTTCTGGTGAATTTGTTCTCTCGTGTTGGATGGACGCCACGACGCTTCTGTTCGACAAGGACATGCATACAATAGCGTTTGGTTGAAGGAGTCGATAACGGTATTACCGGTTGCATACTAAGCTAGTAGTACATTGTTAGGACGTCCGAGTATATATACTGTACCGGTAACTGGTCGAGTAGTTTTCTTGGTACTGTAGTGTACCTATCTCAAACGACAATAATGCAAGTTCGAACACTGCATATTGTACACAATCGGTCGACGAGGACTACGAATATCGATTCATTAACACTCCCGACTACGAATGAGTAATTTATCAAAAGCGCAACGTCGCCTAGTGGTATGGACCAGAAAAGTACAAAATGCTGTCGGTTACACGACACGCATGTGCGTAACCGTTCTCGTTATCCGTAAAACTCCCAAAACTGACGCAGTGTCACGGTCGAGTGCGATGCCGGCGGCCACAGCCCGGGCCCTCTTCCAGAACAGCAAGCGTCGATATGGAAAGACCTTTCTAGGGTCGTTCAACATGTACAAGGTCAATGTGGACGAGAAGCATGTGCTCGATCCCCGCATCGGCACGTCGTGGCTGCTGCCTCATCAAAACGGCGAGACATTCCGCCTGTGGGTAGCTCGGAACCTCGAGCTGTCGCCCCTTATGCGCGGGTTGGACGCCCTTATGGTCGTGCTGAGCTTCGTCATGGTCGCGTTCTTTCTATATACAAACTGGAACAGCTACAGCATCGATTTGGACCCGGCCGTGCAGAGTACGTAACAACAACATCGTTTCCATCTCGTTGGACGTCCATACTCATGCTGGTTGTATTGTTCCAAGCTTCGAGCAACGTGATTGGCATCCTCTTCACAGCCGAGTACGACTACTACATGTCGTTCATTGACCACCCCTCAACACTATGATGTAGCTACATTATCCGAGTGTATGCCACCCCCCTGCGCCTCGAATACGTCACGAGCGTGTTTTCCCTTGTCGACTTGATCGGCGTTGCATCTGCATGGATCGAAATCTGCCTCTCTAAGCGCTATATGGCGATTTTGAAAATTGACACCATGGGGCGCCAGTTCCTGTCGATGCTTCAAGTGATGAAGTCGCTGCGGGTGCTCCGGGCGTACCGCCTCCTGCGCTTCACGTCGTCAATGGTGCAGCGCCAGATCCTGGCCACGGTCCTCACGGTGCTGTGCATGATCATCGCCGTCGCCGGCGCGCTCCAAAACCTCGAGCTGTGCCCTGCCCATTGCCCTGACATCTGCATCCCCCTCTATCGCAACGACACGATGGCGTGCGTAGACGTGGAAATCACGTTCGCAGACTCCAACGCCACGACCACGTGCCCCAGCTTTGTCAACCACTTGCTCGAGAAAGCCCTTCCCCCAACCAACTGCTGCCGGTGTCAAGTGTATCGGTTTCTCGATTGGATCTACTTTGTCGTGGTATGTCCGTATACACAACTGGGGGGGGGGTCATTTTGTATAGTACCTGTTTGATTTATGGTGTTTTTTCTAGGTGACCATTTCGACGCTGGGATACGGGGACATCTCCCCCAAAACTGCGTCTGGACGCTTTGGCACGGCCATCTTGATCATGATGACGTTCGTGTTTGTGCCCATCCAAGTGAACAAGCTCGTGACGGTCATTTCCCAACACTCCAAGTACAACAAAGCATACACGTCTCGAAGTGACACGCACGCCGTCATCACAGCCCACCAACTCGACGTGAGCATGCTCCATGCATTCCTCCGGCAGTTCTTTCATCCTCAAAACCGAAACTGGAACGAACGGGTATGTGAAACTCCTCTTCCGTAGTCACGCCTTCCGCTACACTGTTCGAGAAATACCTCCTCCCCCTCCTTAACGACATGCTCGGGGTTCTTGTCGAACTACCTATGCTTGCTTTTCGGTTCACGCTAGACTAACTGAACGACGTACTGATTGGGGGGGCGCCCTTGATTGTGTTTGGGTGCTGATAAAGAATGTTCCTTCCCTTTAACAACAACGATGGGGGGGGATTAACTTTTGTTTGGCGAAATATAGATTGTGATTCTGCATCCCCAAGAACCGTCTGCTGACGTGACCAAGATCATCCACCTGTACGAGCCCCGCGTGACGTACATTGTGGGCTCCGCCATGCAAGAAGCCGACCTCAAGCGCGCGGCTGTGCCCACCAGCGCCATCTGCTACGTGCTCACGTCGTGCGCGGGTGACAGATCTGGCCGAGCTGACCAGATGTCGGCCATCCTCACGACAGCTTTCCGCGTCATGAACAAGACCGTTCCAATTTTCACCCAAGTGATCGCGTCCACGTCCGTGTCCTACTGCACCATCTCTGGGGCCACCAACGTCGTGTGTGTGCAAAAATTGAAAATGAGCATGCTCGCGCTGAGTTGCGGCATCAAGGGGCTCACGACGTTGCTAACAAACTTGCTGTCGACGCTGTCGCCGCCTTCGAAACCGGCCAAGGAGCCGTGGATGGCCGAGTACCTCCAAGGTACCAAATACTACCTCGATATGCTTGTGCTTTATAACTAAACCAACGAACGTATGGATATATATATGTGTATAGGAGCGATGAGTAAAATCTTTCGGGTGGATATCCCGCGGTCGTTTTCCGGTATCACGTACCACGAACTCGTCATGTTTCTGTACAACAACCTCCAAGTGATCCCCATTGCCATGGAAATGGTATACCAGATCTATGTATACCATATATATGTATCAAAAAGCAGATATATCATTACAGTACATGTTAGGGCAACGGCATCCAACTCAACCCAATGTCATTCAAGTTGGGCCAAGCGGCTGACCCGAAGCTGTGCTGCACCGTGTATGTGATTGCGCCCAATCTGCAAGTGATCGACCGCATCAACGAGTACCAGCACGAGCAAATCCGAGAGTTCCGACAGACACTGCGCAAGATGGAGCGCGCCAAGGCGGACGCGGAAGGGGCCGAAAACAAGTCCCCCAAAAGCGCCAAGAAACAGAAGAAAAAATTCACGCTGGGCGGCCACGTGTTTAGGTCCAACTCGCACGACACCGCCGGGTTCGATATCAAGGCAGCGTACGATTTATTTATGGTACCGTGTAAATTTATACTAGTATATATATGTTATATATATACTTAAGTGGGACGAAATATGTTTCATCGTGCCACTAGGCAAAGGATTTGCCCACCGTGCTGGATGGACACATTGTGGTCGTGGGGCTGCCGTTTGCATTGCAAGATTTACTTGATCCGTTGCACACCAAGTCGTCGTCCCAGGTACTAGGAGTATATATATATATATACGCCCTTCACCCTTTCCGTGAATACAGTAGGCATATATATATATCTACGAAATCGCATATCTTCCATATAGCAAAACGACTTTCTAACATACGATCTCGTGCGCAGATTGTAGTGATCTTTTCGCCCGTGAAGATGGCGATCCCAGACTTTGAGCGTCTGACGCATCCAAACCAAACGTACTTTGCACTCGGGTCACCGCTCACCTCGTTTGACCTGCAGCGCGTAAGCATCACCACAGCGTCATCCGTGATCGTGTTGGTGCGTACTCACATGCTAAATAAATCACCCCGAAACCCCTAAATCCCTAACCCCCGAAACCCCTAAACCCCGAGTTATCCGATTTGTCCTTTCATAGTCGAAGGCGGACAGCGGCACCACGAACGCGACGGTCGAGTTTTTCGATAAAAATATGGTGGACGCCGATGCGATCACATGCGTTCGGTTTATTTTGGAAGGCTGTTCGCGGCATCGTCAAGTGCCGCCGAATTTAATAGTCGACTTGGCAAAGCACACCAACGTGCGGTTCCTGAGCATGGCCGTGAAGCGTGAAAGTCGACGGGAGCGCCGCTTGACAGATCGTATGCTCCTGCAAGGCGGCCATCTGACCATGGACGATGCCACGCTCGCGGACATGGACATTGGTGGCGACGACGACGAAAACGAGGATGTGCTGGATATGAACTACATTTACGAGCCGGCGTATGCGTCCGGTAGGACAAGGACCAATCAAAAACGAGAAATAATGGGTGGCTATGGGGCGTCATAGGTCGTGTGGCGGTGAATGGCCTGATCGAGTCTCTTATGAGCGAGTGCTACCAAAAGCCCAACCTGCCCTTGATTATCGACGCGTTGCTCCACGGCCAAGAGCCCGATTACGAGTACGATTTATGTATAACGTTATATATTGGAATATGTTTGGATCAACAACAATATAATATATATTTGACTCTTTTGATCCAACAATACGATATGTAGCCTCCAGTTGTTTCAAGTGCCATGTCCAACGGGACTCGTGGGCAAATCATTTGGCGAGAGTTTTCGCAAGCTGCTGCGTCTGGTAATGTCATCATGTTGTAGAATGGTTCATTTATGTTGAGCTTTCACTTATCCTGCATGATCATTTATCCGGATGTTTTCATTTATCCTGAACGCCAGAACTTCATTTACCCGTAGAATTGTTCATTTATTTTGAGATTTCATTTATCCTGCATGATCATTTATCTGGGTGGTTTCATTTATCCTGAACGCGTTGTTGCTGTAGAACATCATTTACCCGTAGAATTGTTCATTTATTTTGATCATTCATTTATCCTTCATGATCATTTATCTGGGTGGTTTCATTTATCCTGAACGCGTTGTTGCTGTAGAACATCATTTACCCGTAGAATTGTTCATTTATTTTGATCATTCATTTATCCTTCATGATCATTTATCTGGGTGGTTTCATTTATCCTGAACGCGCTGTTGCTGCAGAACTTCATTTGCATCGGCTGCTGGCACCCCGAGAACGTCAAGGCGATGACCGCCAAGGACATTCCAGCGTATGTGCATACAAACCCCAAGACAGAAATGAAGCTCCACGCCAACGACCTGCTCTACGTAATTGGCCGCCCGGCGTCCAAGATCGAGTTGTGATCGTTTTCTTTCGCCCATATCCGATGGATATGCCTTAATTTATTACCCCGCTTTTGACTTGAAATGTCCTACTACTGGCGTCGACTGGCTGGCGGGGGAGTGCGCCACCGAGCGCGCAACGTGATCATCACCGCACCAAACGATAAAATGCCGCCCGCCACCGCTATGGATGTTAAAACGCGGCGGTGGAATGTGGCGGCGTCCCGCGCAGTGGTCGCTTCATCGGTTAGGATGCGGCGGAACTCGTCCATGTCTGCCTGGCGCGACACCGCGGCTTGGCCCCTAGCGATGGCATCCCGACGCAACGCCGCGTTCTCGTTACGTTGACGAACGATATCCGCTTGGATGGACGCAATGTCCGCTGTCGTAACCTCGATCTCGTGCTGCAATGCTCTCCACTCGTGTAGGTGCTGCATCAACTCCCGTTCACTTTCCCGCAATTGGGTCAACTCGTTGTTCTTGGCCGCTACATTGGCGAGCATATCATCCTTCATACGTTCCCAGTGACTTGCAATCTGCTTCTGGTTGGTCTCTTCGAGGACGAGGAGGTCAGTCCAGTTGTCACGCCATGTTGAAAGCTTCCTGCGCAAGTGATCGACGATCGATGTGTTCAATGGTGTGACCTGAATCTCAATCTGTGCAGCGCGAACGCGGCCCATGACTTCCTGAACATGTTCGTGCTGACTGTCTGTCTTGACAAAGGTGTTCATGGCGCTGTACAGCATCGCCGTCACTGCCGCCACGACCCACACCGCATTACGCCACAGACTCATTTTTATTTCGCCAGGTGAGGACTGTTGACGACCGAATCGTTTCTGATTGGAGAAATAGTTACACTATTTTGACCAATTAATGAAGTTACACGTCTTCTCTAATACTAACGTTACATGTAGTACGTAGTAGAACTTCGAAGTACTACTACACAGTGGTACTTCGAAGTACATAACGCTACTATTATATTAATATTAATAGTACTCAGGAGTACTAGTACTATTAATACCGGTAGTATGGTGCACGTCATCTCTAACCTTCTACCGGTGTAGGTGGCCAAATCCAAGACAGGAGGTTATACTGTACTAACCGTTAGTATTACTTCGAAATATTCACATTGTTAGGGTGGGTCTGGATCACACCCTGATTTTTGCCCAATTAATATTTCGAAAATTTGATTCACAGTCAAAACAATTCGAAGAATTTGGTTGTCTTAACTAACTTACAGTACCAACTTTCAGAAAAAGTCCCTTGAACTCGTTTTCTATTTTTTGGCGAAAATCCCGGGTTGGTCATTGAGATGGCCACTGAGATATACTACGTAGTACTACGTAGTATTGCATTTGTAAGTGAAATTAATTAAAACCTGGCAATTTGTTTTCAACAAATCGAAACTATAATTCGTTGTGCATTACGATGCCGTTATTTTCGCCCATGTTTTCTCGATTACTACAGAAGTATGTGCTTTTCATGTAATTTGCCCGTTGTTTAACTGCGTTAAACAACAACCAGACGTTTAAGATAATATAAGCCCGATTGAAGATAAAACAACGCTAAACCCAAGTTCTGCATTTCAGCAGAATAAAACAACGCTAACTTTATTTCTGCGCTAACTACCGGCAATCGAGTTGGAGCACCAGGCCAACTTACGCAGTTGCAACCACCAGTTCATCACGATGCATACCGTATTAGGATGTGAAATGGGAGTAGTTAACTTGCTATACATCGTGTAGTTGTAGTGCCCCCTTGCTTTCCACGTACAGTACTAACGTTAGTACAGAACAAAGTGTTGTAGGTATGGCATAGCTTTGAATCATTGGACAGAGCGACGACTAACCTAACTATATCCCTAACGTTATAAATTACTCAGAGTAGTTGATGTTTGTAGTGATCACGAATGGGAGGTCATGTATACAGTATATGGCCATAGCTGCTTCAGTTTCATTGCGGCAAGCACCTTGACGAAAGCACCTGTAAAACCACCTTGAAACAACCAATCATCGCATTAGATAAAGTTACTTTAAACAACGCACCCAACCGTTATTCAAGTTACTTTAGACAACCGTTATTCAAGTTACTTTAGACGTTATTTAAGCCTGAGAAATTTTTAAACAATGAATTTAACCATGGAATTGCCAAAAAACTCGCAAAGAAAAATACGCAGTAACGTTACTATAATACCAGTATTAATACTATCATAGGTTCAAGGTCTCTAAAACATAATTCCTGGAACAATGTTAATGTCAAGAGGACGAGGAAAGAGTAGCACTTGAGGAAGGGCGAGAAATACGAGGAACACTTGCGTGGTGGGGGGCAAAACTAAAAGTGACTTATCGGATTGGCTGTAGGTATCCGGATGCCTGAACCCACCAAAGCAGACAGGCCAAAGTGTACCTCTTGACAATGAACTCACTAACATAGGGGTTTCATTTTCTGTAGTACCATGTAGTACCTGTATTGGGCAAGACGTTCGGCAAATCAATTATGCATCGGCCAATCAATGATTGTTTACGTTAGTTATTGTTTCACCTGTTTGACACACACATCTTCGCTGGTTACTTGGCCCTCCTCAACCTTGCTCTGGAAAGCTCACTTACAAGATACTAGTAGCCTTTCATTATTTTATCAAGGCGTGAATAGATTTTCTTGAAATAACAAGTCATGTAATATTTCTTTCTTAGATAACGTTAGCTAACAAAGTTGTTCATAAAATATTACTATGAATAACTTGAAGTCATATTTGAGGCAATACTTCGGTACATGTACTAAGTTAAGTTACGTAGTATATTATATAATTATACTTCGAAGTGTTAACTGGTTGTTAAATTTTCTCACTCCGCATTTTATTTTGCTACCAGTAAGTAGTATATGAGACATTTTTCGTTTAAAAATACAACCAAGTACTGGTAGCAAATTGCGGATATGTCAAAACGGTCTCCGCAATATACTACCAGAGTGGTAGTATTTGTTTAGTAGTCATTTCAGAAAGTTTGGAAGCATTTTGCTCTCGATTTCGTGGTGTAGAAGGACTAAGACGTCATGATTAAAAATATAGCCTTATCCGGATGCGAAATACTATGGAAAGGGCGTTTGTGGATGTTTTGGCAAGCCAAATAAAATCACAAAACAATTTTGAGCTGACTGTGAAGATACTAATCTATGCGTTCCAGAAAGTCCTCAGCCCCTACCGTATTTGTCGTTGATCTGCACCATGAGATACAAAACGCGAATATAATTCTATAATTCAATACAATCTTGAATCAATTATACAATTCGAATATTTAAATAAATTCTTCAATTTCAATTCCATGGTGAAAGGTACGACAAATACGATAGTGTGTCTACTAGATATGACATTACAGTACCTTTATTCCCAAAGGCAACAGTATCTTTAAGAGCTACCGGTAGTGCGATCGGGCTGCGTGGTATGCTGCCAAATCCTTTGAGGTTCGCTGTTTTGGCCAGTTCGCACCCTTCTGTAGCAAAAAAAGTTATGTTTTGGTCGACGATTTCACTTGTTCTAAGTGGAATTAGAATAACCTTATCTAGTACATCTGACCTGTGGATTGGACCTTTTAAGCCCTCCTATCGGTCAAAACAGGAGGCCTATTCGAGAAATGTCTCATTTGCAAGTGGTAGCAAAATATACTGTACTTCGAAGTATTGCCGGTACTGTTGGGAAGGTTTTGGCAGTTCCCCAATGCAGTCACTTTGTTGTCAAAGCATGTTGGTTGTTCACAGCCAGCTACCGTTAGGTCTCCGTGACAATAGTAAGGTTAGCTTATCGTGTTTGAAAAAAATGTTTGAAAAAAGATGTTGATAACGTTATGAATTATAAAGAAAAAGCATCGATAAAGCCTGTTCTGGGGATCTGAGCACTTGAAACACGCACCTGTACACACGCCAGTTAACTTTTGCGTATACAAGAATTTGTATACCTTCATGAGTACTAGTATTTCATATGGTGCGTGAATTCAAATTGGGTGCGCATTTGGTGGTTTTAATTCGCCGGCAGTCCAGCCAGCATTTTAGGAACAGCCACCGGAGTGAAATCAACCCATGGTCCGATCATTCCTCGCTGCCTTCGTCGTCGTCCTTGCCGCCGCCAACACCGCTATGGCCGAGATGACGTCTCAATGCAAACCGAACGAAGTACTTTGTGTGAACACTGCAGGCACGGCAGGCCTATGCTACATTCCCCAGGACCGGTGGGAATGTTGCGACGGCCTGTTGCACTACATGGGCCCGGGTGCCCTCGACGAGTGCTGCTACAACCCCTCTCTCAAGAAGACGTATCTGGCCAACTTTACGGCTGGTGGATGTCTTGAATTCAAACGAACGCCTGAACCCAAGCCTGTGGTGGTCCCAACCACCACCGCCGCCACGGCGGCAGCACCAGTCTCATCGTCGTCGAACTTTGCTGGTCTGAGTGTTACCAACTGGATCCTTATCGGAGCGGGGGTGCTGGTCATCGTCGGCGCAGTAGCTTTCTTCATCTTCCAGAAAAAGCAGAAAAAGCACGCGACCGATGCCACAGGGACCGAGATCTGCATCTTGGAATCAAAGGACACCAAGCCCAAAGAAATTATGCTCTTCAACTAGCACCCACTCGTCGCCTTGGTCTGTAGTCATAATCTTTTTTAAAGCTAATAACATTTACCATTTGTAAAACGATCCAGACAAAAGGCCCTATATGATCGTCCTTGAATAAGTTAAGCGAGTGTTTGGGACAGACATAGCCGCCCTTTACTCGACTTCTACGCGACAGTCTATTCGCCCCTTCGTACCACTTGCCCCTCCTCCTGCGTTGTTACTGTCTCGATGCACCTTGCCCTGCTTCATCTTTACTCGGCGTTGGTGGTCCAGCTGCTTCTCCAACTCCCACCGAATTTCACGCCTGGTGTGGTCCTCCACTTGCCGTAGTCGTTCGACCTCGCGCTCCTTGTCCTTGGCCAGCCGCTGGCTCTCCAGCGCTTTGAGCCGCCGCAAGCTCTCCTGTTCGTCGTTGCGCTGCTGGGTCGCCTTGGGCACTCGCACACGTCGCAGGTCGTCAATATCTCGCAGCAGTGTGGCTTTCAGTCGCTGCAACTTGACTTCGTCGGCGGCTGCCTTCGCGAGCCCTTCGTGGGGCACGTCGTCGGTCACGACACTGTGGCCCTTCGGCTGTTTTGTCAACTGAAGGACTCGTTGAAAGACAGCATCCGACACCAGCCGCGCTGTGACTGCCCATAGAGCCATGTTCCGCTGAAGAACTCGTGCGCTAGCATCCATCCGCTCGATCGTTTGAAGATGCAGGTGGATGCTGGCTAGTCGTTTCATCTGCCGCTTCCGCTGGCGACGCCTTGCGCATCGCTGTATCGTGGCGGCGGCGGCGGCCTTGATCCCGTGCCAGTACCGCATCCACGTTCGCTGAATAATCAGCGCCGCGGCCAACTGGAGACGAAAACGCCGACCCCGCCGTTGTAGCACGTGGTGATACATGCCATTCAAAATGCGGTCTTGTGCAATCCGGCGCTGTCGCCGAAAGAAAACGAGGTGCCACCACCGCTGCAGGGTAACCGCGCTCTGAAACCGTATCGCGTGTTGGTGGAGCGTATAGTCCCGCATGGCCACTTGGATGAGGGCGGCGGCGTGGTTTAGCAGCCGCCAGTACAGTCGTTTGTGATACGACCTACGCCAGGTTCGCTGGATGCGGGAGGCGCTTGCGTTGTGCAATCGTCGACGGGACCGATCCAGATCCCGCTCTCGTTTCTTGTCCTCAAGCTGCTTCTTTTCCTCGTACGTCCTGCGTAACCACTCGCCTTTGCGCTGCTCAATCTGTGTCTTGTCACGCAGACGCTCTTGTCGTCGGTGGGAGCTCTCCATGAGCCGCTGCCGCCTTGCTAAACTGCCGTCCACGAAGAACCTCGACGCTATGGCGGTGGAAAACGAATGCCGGACTGCGTTCTGCTGAAGCGACTGCCGCTGCAGCGCCACCAGTTTCGCTTCCATCGACGTCGCTGTAGTTGCCTACCCGCGCCTCGGGTCAGCGTAGCAGTCGATGCACGAAACCGTAAAAACAAAACAGTTGACGGTTACTCGTTCTCCTACCAATTAATAATATTCCACCCGCCTCTACTGGTCATTATATGTCGAAGTATTTGATTTGAATTCAAGAAAAAATACAAGGTGGTGCGATATTTGTCGGTGAAATATTATTACTTGTACTTTTTTCATCGTGCGTGCTGTGGAAACGTAACTGCAGCGTTGGCTGGACGTACGCAGAGTTAATGCGGCGGCGATCAAGGGGCCCGCTGCCCCGGCGGCTGCTTAATCCCGACGCCCCATCACCCGAAGCGATCCTCACACATGACGCGGCGGCAGCCATCAGCACCGAGATTAACGACCTCGTGTCCAATCGGAAGCTGCTGGCGGCATTGCAGCATGCCAAGGCCGCCAACATGCACGCGCGGTATCAAGCGTTGCGCAGCGAAGCGTCTCAGGTTGACATGAACTACTCCTACGCCGAAGGGTTTCTTCCAGGGGTGTACTTTTACAAGTACTTGGCGTCGGTCGCGGACGTTGGCGGCGAAGACAAGGACAGACCTGCCGACGACAACTGCCACGTTCCACTCCGGTCTGTGGGGCACCCGAGGCTGCAGCTCAAATGCTGGCTACCCGACACGATTGTGTTTGGGGGCAGCTTCCCCCCCGTGTGGTTGTACAGCGACCAACACGGGTACATTCGAAAGGTACCCGTGCCGATCGCCTTGTCGATTGTCAAACACATTCCATGCTTAGGTGATCCATTTTCAAGACGCCCATGTGATGGAAAAGTTGGGGAACCGGCGCTTTGAAAACGATCCCGTGGTCGTGTTCAAGGAGCCCCAAGTCGTGAAGACCCCCTTGGCCACGACCACTGGCGGCAACCACATCAAGCTGTACAACACGCTCGAGCTCAAGAGCGCCCTTGCCAAGGCGATAGGGAGCCCCGTCACGTTTGCCCTGCAAAAGTACGTCAAACCCAAGGGCCCCAAGGCGTTTATCGTGCGCGCTGTGTACAAAGCGGGGCGCCCAGCGTGTGGGTGGACCATCACCAACAAGGCCCCGTTCGACGCCCCTCATTTGCCCTGCTTAAGTCGATTTTGCACTCTCACGGCTACAGACGACAGCTGCTCGTTTGCCAAGCTCACGGAGCGCGCCGTGGCCGACCTCATGGACGTGCATGTTCGGGTACGAAACATAGTTCGCCGGGGAAGCAACTATATTTTGTTTTTTCGTCGTAGATGCTCAAGTACGTCGAAGTGTCGTTGCGCGTGTCGTTTGAGAGTGTTGTGGCGGACTACATCAAGGACGACATGGGCCAGTGGTGGCTCGTCCAAGTCAAAGCGTTTCGGCTCAAAACCATGCGGCCCACGGCGCTGTTGTCCAAACTCGGAGATGCCTACGATCGGTCGACCGTGCAAGACGACTGGGCCGATGACGTTGTTGCTCCAGCTGCGTCGTTTAAGAAACCACCAAGTAGTCACCATCAGACTGTGCAAGACAAATGCAAAGTTCACAAGATGGTGCCGTGCAAACTGTGCCAAGTGATGTACCTGCAGCACGAAGTCGCGTACAAGATGACCATGAAAATGATGTACGAGACCATTGCGCGCATCCAACTTCGGTCGGCTAGCGACACCAACTTGTCGTTTCTCAGGCATCCCAAGGACAGCCTCGACAGCGGACTGCTCTACCAAACGTGGAACGTGTGCAACCTGTGCTACGCGCTTTACGAACGCGACCAGGCGCTGCTCCAGGTCGAAACAAAGTTCACGGCGTTCCTTGGATGCCCCACCAAACTGTCCACGTCGCGCAAGGGGGGGGTCACCATCACGCACGACTCGAACGTCGCGAGGTCCCAACCCATGCTCACCCAAGTGCCGACTGAGTTTACCCTGTGTCGTCTCATGCTGTTCTTCACAGCGTTGTACGATATCCCCAAGGAGCTGTACGAGAGCGAAACCCAACTGGCCAACGACCCCACGCGACCCAAACGTTCTCGACTGTACCTCCGCTTCGCCGTGCTCGGATTCGACTGCTTTGTGCCGCTGGACGCGCACGCAATGCTCGCGTCCACGTCCATCCCATCCAACGAAGACGACGAACCCGCCACATGCTACTGGATCCCCCTCAACCTCATGCGATGCTTTCACTTTTTTGCCCCCAAGACCCCCCTCGCGTCCAAATTGCGCGAGTCGTCGGGCCTCGGGTCATATTTGGCCGACGAAGGCACGATTACGATCCAGCTCATTCGATGCACCGACCCCCACACCGTCGACATCGACGCCCGACGGGGCCACCAGCAACAGCCCCCTCCGACTCCATCGTCGTCGTTCTCGACTGCGAGGGGTATCCGAAGGAGGGGGTTACAGACCCACAAGGCCGCCGTGTGCGACGCCCAGGGGTCGTACTCGGTGCTCCTGGGGTCGACCAAGATACAGCTGTACCAATTTCGCAGCGCGTACGTGTCCAAGACAGACGTGTACACGAGCATGAGCTCGGGGGAGCTGTTCAACTTGAAGGCCAACGTCGGCTTTGAGCGCATTCGCGTGGTCAACTCCAAGCACATTTTGGCACGATACACCCTCCGCCAGTACTTTGGTGTGTTTGTACCCGACTCGTCGTACGTCGTGACTGACAAGTTGTGCACGGAATGGGTGGACAACATGAACGCTGTCACAGAGGACGCGACGTTGTACGTCCCCAAAGCCCACCTAGACCAGTTTCGAGCGCCGAGCAGCAGTGCCGCCAGCACCTCGTCGCTCCGAGACGCGAACGAGTTGGAAGACCTGATCGAGGCAGAGTCTACCCGACAAGTGCCATTGGCGGAGCCGCCGAAGCATCGACGGAATCCATTGGACAGAAAGGTAATGCAAGCATGCGACGACGACGACGAAGGGGCACTGGACGGTGTGATTCCAACACCCAACGAAGATGTTGAGGATGATCCCGAGGGGCGGTCGTTGCTGTTTCAACGACGACGTTCGTCGCAAACGACGAGAGCAGCACCAGCAACGGCCGTCGTGCCCACCACGTGGTGCGTCACGGTGATGTTGCATCGCACACACAATTGGCACCCGGACGAAGGCCAAGCTGGGTGGACTGCTGCGTTTTCGTTTCTGGACGAGGTATTATTTCAATTCTATGACAACCACCAATACAATTCGACCAAACGCAAGTTGGTTTCATTGCTTGGTGTAGGTTCACGAGGCACGGCAACAGGACGTTGTGCTTCGTCCCACCGATCGGCATAACGCCACACCGGCTGATGACGTCGTGTTTGATAGCACCCACCGCATTTACGTACGGGGGGCGCTGGATGCGATGCAGGCGTTCTATGGCAGTCCCGGCGGCGTCTGCACTGTGCGCTTGTCTCATGCTGCCACGTCATCGCGGCCGCCACGGACAGTCGAAATCGACCTCACCGACTTGCAAACGTGTCGCACGATCGACGGCACGTTCAACATTGACACTGTGGCCGACGCCGTGCTGGTAGCATCAAATCTCCGTAGTTTGGACAAGGATGAAGAACCTGGTATAACTGTGGACTGTGGTAGCAACCGCAGCCGTACCCGCCGTATTTATCCGTGTCGATCTATGTGACGCGCGTGCCCGACGACGAAGCGTCGCGCCTCGTAGTTGTGGGGTCCCCCGATGCCACCGCCCCGGGGCTGCAAGTGCTATCGGCACCTCCTTTGACCAATGCTCAGTCTATAATTCCATCCTAAGAACACCTTGGCAAATAACCAATATTTCGACTAAAACATCCTAACACTACAAGGTATGATAAAGAATGCCAAAAAATGTGGGTTTGCAGATGTTCTGCATCATGCAGAGTCGTGTCGTCAGGAGCATTGCAGATTATTCTACCATATTACCACGTCACATTGCACTGCTGCTCCCATTTACCATGTTCCCGAATGATCAAAGTGCACTTTGGCGACCAAATATGTCGACAAGATTGAAAGAGCGTGATGGATATATATGTTAATGCAACGACTGGGCCGATACTTTGGTCGGCGGGGGCAACAACGCCGCGTCCGGAAGGAGGTTGTCGAAGCGGGTGGCGGCGGCATTGGCTTGGCGGGTCGGCGCGTCTGCCATGAGAGACGCCAGATCCAATCCAATCTCGGTGAGAACTTGGTCCACCACTGCGTCGCCCTCTGCTTCGACTTCTTCGTCGTCAAACTACGAGCAGAGAATGGGGTGAGTTAGGCCTCGCTTGACCAACGAAGGGTCCTATGAACGTACGGCGTCGATGAGTGTGTCGTCGAGCATTTCTTCCCGCATACCCATCATTTCGCTCTGCTTTTCAAAGTCCATGATAACCTGTTGGAACCGATTCATGTCCATTTGCTTGTTCGTGGCGGCCATGGTCTGCGATCGTTGCATATGAGATGGGAATGAAGGTAAGAGGACAAGCAGATCGTACCTTGGTGGACTTTTCCATGGCCGAGACCATCGTCATCTGTGCCGCCATGCTCTAAACAGCATGCATGTGGAGCGAATGCTGTCTGAGGACGTACGAACCGTGGTTTGCAACCCGATGCTTCCCAAGTTGCTCTTCATCATCGTCATCTTGTCCTTTTGCTGCCGCAGTTGAATCAACTGCTTGGCTAAGATCTTGGTCCCGCCGTTGTTGCCTTCCTTCGCGGCCCGCTTGATATCTGCAATGAGCAGCTTCTCCTGCCGTTCCAGCGCCATCTTCTCCCTCTCAAGTTCCCTCTGGCTCTGCGAAATGCCTCGCTTCGCCTCCTTCGCTTGCTCTCGAGGCGTCTTCTCTGGCTTCCCGAACCCAAACATGGCCGCGTGGACAGGTGTTACCTTGGTTGTCTGACAAGTGAGTGCATATTCAATCTTCAAAGTGATTGTTAGCACATTCTTATAGCGTACGATAAACTAGAAATAAAAAAAGCGCCGTTAGTCTAATGGTTAGGATTTCTCCCTTCCAAGGAGAAGGTCGGGGTTCAATTCCCCGACGGCGCATCTTTTTTTCTTTTTATTTGACCGCACATTAATAATTTAACATTCAATGAGTTAGTAAATTGAGATGCAAAGTGCTTGGTTCAAGCTTTGTTGCGGCCTTTTGCTGCGATGGAAAATGGTTTACTCCTCATTGCTGCCATCATCCAAATGCAGTTGTCCTACAAGTCTTCGTTCGCTTGTCGTTGATAGAAGCCATAGTTGGCTATAACGAGGTATTAACATCCAATTAATAAAGGTCATTTCAATAGCTAATCAAATCCCAGCAAAACACTTTGCAACCCAAAAATCCATGCCAAAGTCCATCTCGGCAGCACTTCCGAACCATGGGCTGGACAGCCGCGAAATGCTGCATGCAGATCATGGTGATCGCCAATATTATCTTCCTCGCAGCAGGCGACTTTATCCTATATGCCGGGATCTACCTCAAGACGGAATATTGGGCAGACATGTTTGAAGGCGACAACCTTCGGCAAAATGCAAGTGCTGAACGCGACCTTGTCATGGGGGGTGTTGATCTTCGCGTCGCTCATCATCGTAGCGGCCGTCGTTGGCTTCGCCGGCGCGGTCTTCCGCGTGCGCTTCTTGCTGGTGATCTACGCGATATTGTGCACGTTATCGGATATTGCTTTCCTCGCCATCTCCATGGCAGGATGGTTCATCTTTGCCAAATCGTCGAGTTGGAAAGACAAGGCGTTTCCTGCCGACAAGAAACAAGAACGAGCATTTGCCAGTAGATTCAACCAGGAGTACTGCTACGTCACCGGCGCCAACCTGTGCAACAACGTGTTGTTCAGTAGTGAGGCCATTTCGAAACTGGCCCCCAACACGGCCTACGACGTGCTATCTCTCGTGTTGGACGCGCTCAAGGAGGTCATGGCTAGCGCGGGCATCCACGGCATGCAGAGTTTGTGCCAGAACTTTGGTGCGAACGGCGCTGTCGCTGACCTCGCCGCGCTCGTGCCAACTCAACCCCATCTGCACAGGATGTGAAACGGCACACCAGCCCTCCAACTTGAACTCTGTCTTTGCCTGGGTCAACGACCAGTGCCCCCCGACCCGGCCGCGCTCCAGTGGTGCGTGGGGCTGTTGAGTGCCAAAACTCACGGGCCAGACATCGCCACGCCCTTCCGCATCTGCCGAACCAACCTCTACCGCGCATTGGTCAAGTGGACGCCTCTGGTTGTCCTTCCCACGACTGCCGTGACCATCACTCTGTTTTGCATCGTGTTTGTCGCGTGTATCGTACACCGACGCTATCCCCCCCAGTCCAAAAACGTATTGGGCCAATACAAGCACGATATAATTCCCCAAACAGTACGACACTTCGTCTCAAACCACTCACGACAACCAACCATCCCGCCCGTCCATATTCCGTGATTGAACAGTCATAAGCTTCATCACAATACTAATGTTAGTATTATATTTTACTCGATCTACTTTTGTACGACAGGACTGATCGTGTGTTTCCCACGAACGGTCATCATACATCCACCGGAGAACGAACTACGTGATACATATCCGTAGAGTCTGGCAAGGCTGACATGGTGGCGGTCCTTGGCTCATCCTCCATCTCGAGTAGCTCGGCAGTTACCACCAGTTGGCGCAGTAGCACCGTAAGCCCAACAATGGCCAGTCTACGATACAATATATATAACAGTATCACATCCCCAACCAAAATGGAACTATACGGTGACAAGTCGTACGAGCAAAGAGCTACCCCCAACGAGCCATAACCGACCCACGAGCTTAGGTACGCCCACAACGCCAAGACGTGGCGTCTGCACTCGACATAGGGCGAGTTCCCCCCGTCGCTTGAGCTACGTAGAATGAAACAAAGGAATGCTCGATGTATCACAATCTGCTGATCTTGCAGGTAGTACCTCTGGGGAGTGTTCAAGAACCCAGCACACCACGTTGCCGACGCCAGCGTTAACGGGCACGCATCCAAAATGCTAGTCAAGAACTCGGAGTACTGCGCGGCAGGATGTTGGCGGCATAAAGCGCACATGGCATTGATGTGCTGACTGAGCGCGGGGTCTGTCACTCGAACCAGCGAGCTGTTGCACGCTTGGTCCCAGCCGTACAGCTGGTCGAATACTCCTCGCGCTGAGGCAGCCGCGGCCGGACCCAGGAACAGCGTTAGGGACTCACCGACATTGCCTACCGTGCAATAATACGCGATCTGGCCTTGGCAGTACATCGGATTGAAGTGCAGGGGAAAGGCAGCTTCGGCGTCGGTGGGGGTCGCACTGGTTTGCAATGTGTGCGCCAGCCGAAGGGAGAGGAAGCCACCAATGGCAACGAGCACAAATACACCCAAGTTGATGGTTTGCACAACAATGTACGCGAGCATCATGTGCCTAGGTAAGGTACAACGCTTATAAGAAAAGAGCTGTGTCTTGTAAGCCACAGGATGGTTTTGTGGGAACCTGTTTCTCACCCAAGCCCCCAAACAGCCTACCAATGACGTGGCAACGACCAGCACCCCAAATGCCAACACGACTCCAAATGTGACTCCGGAGAGCCAAGTGAAGTTGGACTGAAACATCGCCACCAAGCCCAGGCGTTGGATCCACACAGTGAAATAGATCAGCATGCCCCCAATTATCATGAACGCAACGTTCACCAGCATAATGGCAACCTTGGCCAGCCCAAGGAAGGTTGACGCCTTCTCGTGTGGCTTGAAGTCGAATTCAGACACGCGGGACATGGTCGACCTGCTCGCGGACGGCCGAGTGCCGTTGGGTGGCATGTTTCTTTAGAATCAGAGTTCGGATTCATCATAATGTGTGCAACTCAAAAGATCCAGGATGGAAATTCATTGGTTAAACCATAAGCGTCATATGATATGATTGGCTGAAATATGTCTATTTCCTGGGCAGGTCATATAATCGCTCATATTACTTCAGTATATTGTAGGCGAACGTACAATTTATAACGGGCTATCAAGTGTTTCATTGATTTTGAACGTTGCGAACTGCATGAACGAGGACCTACACAAGCTAAAGGAATCATCGTATTTACACTTAGCAAGTTATAATTGGATTCCTGACACTAGCTGTTGGTGCACATGAAGTTGATCGCGCGATTTAAAAGCCCCGGCGCCAGCATCCGTAGGGGCAGCAACCGTACGAACCGCACCCCCAATAAAAGATGCCGTTGGTGCCCTTCACAGCGCCATGGCTGCCTTCGGCGACAACCGCAAGGGGTTCCAAATCCGACGAAGGGGCGTCGGTCGGTGGACGGAAGGGAGGGGTGAAGGTTGGCGGACGGAAGGCCGGAGTGGCCGCGACAGCGCAGGCGAGGACGAACAAAGTGACGACGGACGTGGGCTGCATCGTTGGTAGTTCAGGGCAAATTGACAAGTGTATAACAAGCAACACTGCAAAGGGATTAACTGTACATTGATCTTGGGAACTAACAAGTTGAGTTGAGCCCATTACAGTGCAATAGTTCACTGTGAATGGCATATTTTGTGAAAACGTTATTGCAGTTCGCGACTCGAGTAAGAGTTAATATGTAAGTATTAATAATTGAACTTAACCCCACGGCCAGTTTCCGATTTTATTATGATCGCGTATAAGCACAGTAAGGTGAATTCTAGTAAGCTGCAACTTCGTAGATGTAACAGTTAGTGACTCGTCGTTTCAAGAGTACCATTTCAAACTGCAACTGGTAAACTTCATTGACATCAATTAACATAAGTACGGGACATTATCGTAACATCAGGTGGCCATGGGATCGATCCCTGTTGTGTGCACA